TATCCTACAGCTCCACCTTGTGGTCACATCCATGTCATTTCCTGACAACACTGTTTAGAGTTAGAGGCTATAGCTAGATTTTCAGGTCCATAATTGTGTTCATCTGTTACAGCAAAGAACAGCAAATTGTGTGGGGGCAACGTGGTATAGGGGTTTGGGTGCTGAACTAGGATTTTGGAGACCAGGGTTCAAATTCCTGCTTGGCCATGGAAATGCACAGGATGACCTTGGGCATGTCACACTCTCTCAGCAATAGCCAACTTCCTCTGAACAAATCTTGTCAATAAAAAAAAACTTAAGGTTGGCATAAGTCGGAAATAATTGAAGGCTCACAACAACCTGGAAGATGAAAGATTTCTTGAAACAGAAGCTCTTTTCAGAGCCTTGGGGTTTGTTTTTTGCTTGTATGTACATGTAGAATTTGGAATGATAATGTTGTAAAAGCAGTGTGTTACTGGGGGGGAAGCAGCCGAGGGCGTCCGGGACGCCGCGGGATGGTGCGCCGCGGGAGCGAGGCATCCGCACCGCAGCGCACCGCCGGCGCCCCTGAAAGGAGCACTAAATCAGCGCTCCTTTCAGAAGCCAGTGAAAGTGCGCCCTAAAAGTGTAGGGCGCACTTTCACTGACTTATCCGCCACAGCGTGTGCGGACGCTGCGGCGGGAGGTTGCCCTGGGAGCGCCGGCTGTGTGGAGGGTCGGCTGCTCCAAGGGCAACCTCGGGAGGAGGAAGGGGCGCCGAGCGTGCGGCTGCCCCTCCTCTTCCTTGCCTCGGAGACGGCTCTATGAGCCGTCTGCCGAGGCCCAATATTGCTTTTTCATTTCCTGCTACATTTTTGAGAGAAAAAGATTGGGTTGTTAAAGAGGAAGATGTAAAATTTGAGAAGTTTTACAGAGGGTCAGTGTGGCGTGGTGTTTTGAGTGTTGATCTGGAAATCAGGGTTCAAATCCCAGCTCGGCCATGGAAACCCACTGGGTGACCTTGGGCAACTCACACTCTCTCAGCCTCAGGAGAAGGCAATGGCAAACCTCTGAACAAATCTTGCCAAAAACAACCATGATAGGATCACCTTAGGATTGTTGTAAGTTGGAAATGACATGAAGACTCACAACAAGATGTCAAAATGCCTCTAAGAGATAAATTTTGAAAATGACTAGAAACCATTAGCGATTAACAATGTAACTTCATTCTCACTTGTTAATGCTACCTCTGGAATTGATGTTCAGCTCCATCACCTTCAAAAGTAGCTCTAAGTAGTTACATCCAGCGTTACCTGTCTGAGGTCCAAAACACACTGCAGAAATAATCCATTTTGAGACCGCTTT